GGTTTTTTGAAAAAAAATGCCGACCGTAAAGTTTTTTTTTTCAACGTAGAAATTCTTGGTCGGCCGGGTTAGCGGAAACACACGACTTTTTTTTCTACGCCTTATGTTAACTGTTTTGTTAAGCGCTTTGTTACAGCTGCAGCTGTTGTGAAAGCGCTATAAATCAGGATGTATTGTATTGTATTGTGTATTTTAGGCATTTTCTTGTGACCTAACCCCTCATGACAGGAACTTAAACAATACAGTCATACCTCGGTTTTCGACCATAATCCGTTCCAGAAGGCTGTTCGAAAACCGATTTGTTCGAAAACCGAAACCACGCTCTTTAAAAAAAAAAATTTTTTTTGAACACGTCTGCTCACAATGGAACGCTACACGAGGAAGCGTCACTTCCTCGTCTACCGGAGGAAACGTCCCTTCCTCATGTAAGGAAGGCGAGAGGAGTGAAGTGGCGCATTCAAGTGCGCTTAGTTTGGTCGAGAACCGATTTTCGGTCGTAATCCGAGGTATTAAAAACTCAAAATTTTTGGTCGAAAACCGATTTGCTCGAGAGCAGAGACGTTTGAAAACCGAGGTTTGACTAGTTGAATAAACTGTTATTTTTGACTTTGTTATATGGTTTCAGTCATAAAGGCCCTCCAAGGGAAACGGTCACTAAAATGTGGCCCACGACAAAAAGGAGTTTGACACCCCTGCCGTAAAACCTCATAAAACATATATTGTATTGCGAAAAAACTTGCAGTACTGCGGGGGCACAAGGGACGAACCAACAATTATCTGGGGTTCACTGTACATATTCTTGTGATTCGAATGCTTGTTTGCCAATTTTTTTTGCATGTTGAAGATGGCAAAAATAAAAGGATAGTCCTTTCAGGGGTTTTTTTTGGACTTTTGTATCCGATTCAATTGCTCTTCCGAATGTACAGGGTGTCCATTAAGTCTCTTTATCATTTCAAAAATTTATTAAAAATGCAATTGATTAGATATTTTATTCAGATTTGTTCCATTGTATTTAGTGTTTATTAAAGTTTATTTATTTATTTATTTTTAATCACACTGCACAAAGGTGAATGTGTGGTGTGGGATCATGTGCAATTGAATAATTGGTCCATTTTTCTTCAACGAGACATCAATTTCTGCAAATGTTTACCTTGATCTTTTAACTGAATATGTGGCACCACAACTGAATGACCTTCAACCAACCATCATTTTTCAGCAAGATGGTGCACCACCACATTGGGGGCTGCATGTTCGTGGGTTCCTCAATCAAACATTTCCAGACCGGTGGATTGGAAGGGATGGGCCAATTCCTTGGCCGCCACGTTCACCAGATATCACTCCCCTGGACTTTCTTCTATGGGGCTATGTTAAAGATATCGAACAAAAATAAGGGACATTACTTGCCTAAAGCAAAGGATTACTGATGCCTTTGCCACAATTGATGAGGCTATGCTACAAGCGAACATGGCAAGGAATCGAGTACCGTCTTGATGTGCTCTGTGCAACTAATGGTGCCCATGTAGCTGGGTTGTAGAAGTGTATTTAAAGAGGTTAAAAACTTTAATAAACGCTGAATACAATCGAACAAATCTGAATAAAATATCTAATCAATTGCATTTTTAATACATTTTTGAAATGGTAAAGAGACTTTATGGACACCCTCTATTTACGGGATTCAGATTCGGCTGGATCCTGTGACTGGTGACTAGTTTGTGCTCAGGTTGGCTAACTCGTTTGCCTGGCAACAACTGACGCAGGTCATGTGACCGGGCGCTTCTTTTTTTGAAGCGTCAATTCCTCATTCAAGCACAGTTCATTTTTCTGGACTTCAGGACATGGCTGCGTTAGCTCTGGTCGCCTGCCTCCTTTTCCTCACTTTCTCCGTGACAGGTACGTGTATTTCCATACAACTACATGCACTATACGCATCAGTGCTTTTGAGATTGCTCACGGCCCCACCATCTGAAGTGACAAGAGTTCACAAAGTAGCAAAACATGCGACTCTACGTTGGCGCACAGCACTTTTGTAAAATCACCCTCTCACCGCAATACAAAAGAAGTGGGATTGAAACGTTTTTAATTTTTGAAATTGCAACAACACATTCAGCATTGTACACAAACAAAAAAAAAAAAGCTGAACATAATCGGCTGAAATTTTTCATATCGTGCATCACGCACGCGCGCACACACACACCCACGCAATGTCTATAACCGTAGAGTGAAATCATTTGTTTTGGCAGATGGCTACCTGTACCATATGGAACATGTCTGTGTGTTCAACTCGAGTGACCCGAATGACATCGAGTACTTGCAGATTTACAACTACAACAAACTGAAGATTTACAGCTTCAGCAGCACTTTGGATATGTTCGTCGGCTACACCGAGTTTGGCATCAAGCAGGCTACCTACTTGAACAACGACAAAGACATCATCGCCGACGTGAGAGCCAACAAGGAACGCCTTTGTTTCCACAATATTAAGCTTGACTACGAAACGGCGCTCACCAAGTCAGGTACAAAAACATGATAATCAGCCGCCGAAGAGAAGCACAAAACGTGCGTGTCTGGCATAACATACCTGGCGTTTGGAAAGTATTTGCAGCTCTTATGTTACAGTCGCCTTTCCCAAATGAAAATGGATTCAATTGATTTCTGCACTCAAACAAATCCATCATGACAACACGACGATATGAGAACAAACCACATTCGGCGGGTCGACGAGTTCTCAACATTTTTACACCACGTACAATTTAGCTCTCCAACCAAGTTGCGCCATTATGATCAACATTAAAATCATGAAAAAAGGGTATAGTTGATGTTATTATAAGTTACTTTATTTAACATGATGCAGTTTGAAGATCACACTGATTAAAATTTACGATTAATTTCAAATGATATATATTAATAAGTTTAATAAAAATAACATGTTAACAGTACTTCTGTAAGCGGGTTAGCGGGATCCTGCAGACCATTGTCACACCTGAACAATCACTGGATGAGATAGTCCAGACGAGGGCCTGAAGAATATGGATATTTTGAGTCTGGCAGAATAAAATTGTTATCAATTAATCTGGTGAATAATTAAATCTATAATAAGGATAAAATAACTATCCCTTAAAAATAACTTTTTTTTTTTTTTAATCTCTTAACACTTAGAATACAGATTTGAGCTACGGGGAGAATATTCCACTCTGCATAATATGCGGCGATGGATGAGTCGTATTTTTCATGCACTTTTTATTTGCTGTGTATCTTATTTTGAAGGCACGTGTAAACATTACCATAGCGACCAGAGAGCGTCGTGGCCAGATAGGACGTTCCTTCTGTCATGATTCGTGATTATTATTATTTTACGAAAATACCACAGGTTTTCATGCAGGTCATATCATATTATTTTGTTGTATTCATCCGGACATAAGTGCCGGTCCCTGAAGATTTGTGACACTAAACCGGTCCTTGGGGCAAAAAAAGGTTAGGGACTGCTGCTTCAGTATTTTTGTTGTGAGCAAAAATAAAGAAATAAACGGAATCGATTTGGGAGTGGGGCTGTCACAAAAGAAAGTGTGGAAAAATTGAAGTGCTGCAAATCCTTTCGAGCCACGCTGTTCATCTGAAAGTCAGGCGCTTTTACTTGCGTGACCCGTTGCAGCCAAGCCTTACGTCAGACTTCACTCGGAGTCTCCTCCGGAGGGCTCCCACTCCGCCATGCTGGTGTGCATCGTCTACGACTTCTACCCCAAGCAGATCCGCGTCACCTGGCTGAGGGACGGCCAGGAAGCCACAGGCGAGGTGACCTCCACCGACGAGATGCCCGACGGCGACTGGTACTACCAGGTCCACTCTCACCTGGTCTACACGCCTAAGTGAGTCCACCCGCCGTCGCACCGTGACGTCGGCGGCCATGAAAACCAAGTAACGGTTGTCATTTGTTTCCAAGGTCCGGAGAGAAGATCACCTGTGTGGTGGAACACGCCAGCCTTGACAAACCTCTGCATGTGGACTGGGGTAATGCTCG